TTAATGACCTCCAAAATTCTCAAAATTTTCGCCTGCGGCGCTGAAAAAGTGAATTTTTTTGGCCTAATGCCTTCTAAAATTCTCAAAATTTTCGCCTGCGGCGCAGGAAATGGAAGAAATTTAGCTTAAGGACCTCCAAAATTCCCAAAATTTTCGCCTGCGGCGCAGGAAATGGAAGAAATCTAGCTTAAGGACCTCCAAAATTCCCAAAATTTTCGCCTGCGGCGCTAAAAGAGAAAGACTTATAAACAGTTGTAAAAACTCACATGCCCCCCCCCCCGAAGCTAACTCCCTGGATACGCCCTTGAAGGATATTGGGATTAGAGGGGATATAGGGTATTAATCAATAAATCCCTCAATATCTCTCGTGATTCCCAACCCCTAGCCCTTAATCCACCAATCTTAAATGTAAGAAAATACACGATGTCTCTATTAATTCCCCAAATAACTCATTACTCACATCGATAACTCTGTTAATCCTAAATTCCCTCAATACCTCTGTTAATTGCTCAAATCCATTTATAATTGATCTTAATCCCTCTATATCATCCATAGGGACTCAACTTTACAGCGCCGCAGGCGAAAATTTTGAAAATAAAAATTTCGGTTCCGGATCCGGATATCCGAAATTTTCGGTTCGGATATCGGATCCGGATCCGGATATCCGAAATTTTCGGTTCGGATATCGGATCCGGATATCCGAAATTTTCGGTTCGGATACCGGATCCGGATCCGGATATCCGAAGATTTCCAACTATCCGACAACCTTATTATAAAAACATTAATAATAATATTATTTTACTATTATTAAATAAAGATGAGAATAGATAATTGGTGCAAAGACCAAATAAAAGTGTATAAATATATGTAGGTATATAATGGATTTTACGGCTCTATAAGTAATAGATTCTAAAAGGATGAGGAGTCAAAAAGCACAAATTTAGTCCATCAGACGACCTCGAACATATTTTAATATATTTTAATGTACATAAAAGAGCCCCGCTTCAGAAAATGAGGAAATAATGTCAAAAGTTTTTAGAAAAAATATGGGAATTTGAGGGAAAAAGACTTTTAATGGCGTAAAATGGATTTTTATATAAATAATATGTAAATAAAGTTGAAATTGTTAATGATACGTGAATTATTTTACTTTTAAGGATAATTGACATTAAATAGCATAAAGCGGTAAATAAAATGATATAATACAAGGATCTAATTTTATAAAAATTAGTGAATACCATAAAATGATATTAAGTTTGATCATAATTATGGTAATGAAATAAAGGCATAAAATCAGTTCACAATTCTCAAAATTTTCGCCTGCGGCATCAAAGCAGGTAGATATTTCGCTTGTGGCGCTCTGAAAGAATAGCCCCTTATTAATTATTACCAAGCCCCTCTCAGTTACCGGGCAATCCTTACTGAATCCTTGATCCATCAAACTACCCTGATGTCCCCAATTTATGATTAGGGAGAATATCGGAGAGATTGGGGTATGTAAGAGAGATAGGGAAATTTGAGTGTTAAGAGGGAGATCGTTAGAAAAATGAATCAGGGAAAATGTCGAGGAATTGTTGGGATAAGAGTAAAAATAAATGATTATAAATTTTAGATTTTTGATCATAATTTAAGAATTATATTATGTGCTTATTCAATTTATAACATCCAATTAGTAACACATATCAAAATAATGCCTATCTATTCTTTAATTATTCTCCAGCATATACCTACCAAATGTCTGACTAAAATTTTGTACTTATAATTACTGGTAATTAGATTAATATTTACACAATGATATAATAAATAGCAATTTCTTATAAATAATGATACATATTATAAAACATGTTATTAATAAGTAGGTTATAGGTAAATATTTAATATAAGTAAAACAATTAAATAAAAGCATTGAAAGGAAAAATAAACATAATTTAATATACACTTAATTAGCTGACCAGATATTTTGTTTACAAATTCTTGAGTTTATTAGAAAATTTTTTGTATATAAAAGTAAATATTTATATAATTATTACTTTATTTAATTTTTAATGAATTTATTAATTAATAAAAATTTTTATTTAATTTTTATTTTAATATTCTCAATAAATTTAATTAAATGCCAACAAAAAATTAAAGAAGAAGAAAGCCAATTAATTAATAAAAATATATCCTTAAATAAATTACCTTCAGTTATTATTAATTTTTTAAATCAAAGTTTAACAGAAAATGAAGGAAATGATGATAAAATATTTTATAGAAAAAGTCGAGGATTGAAAGAAACATTTCAGGCAAATTTACACAAATTAAGAGAAAAAATTAAAAATGCACGTGGATAAAGGATTTTATTTTAAATTTATAAAAATATTATTTTTTAAATAATTAAAATTTTTATTGAGTGTTTTGTTTTATTTTAGAGTCAGAGGGACATTTAATTAATTAAATATAATTTCGATATAAAAGTTAGAAGGTAAATATGCTTAGGTAATTCCAACACCTGGGGCGGTATTCAGAGAATGAGGTAGAGGTTACCCAACCCTCAACTACAAGAGGTTAACTCCGAACCCTTATTCATAAATATGGGTTTTAAATTAATTTCAACCCAAACTGATAACTAACTAAATTAAAATTTATCTAAATTAGCGCATTTATTTAATTTTGATTGCATATTTAAAAAGATTTCACATTTAAAAATTAATTTCAAATAATAGCTTTTTGACTTTTTAACTTACTTTTTTTAATTTTTGCTAACAATGATTATTTTTAAATATAATGGTTTTGGAAATTTCTATGAAAAAAAACTTTAGAGAATTCTGTTTGTTTCCACACTCAAAATATTTAAATGGAAATGACAGGAAAATAATGGTCAACAAGAAAAAAATAAATATGGACAAAAAAATACGAGAAAGGCGTCAAAACAAGTTTTCACCCTTAGCAACAAGTTTTTAAGTTCTTTGTATTCTAATAGGGATGAAAAAAGAAGAAAAGCATGGGAAATCTGTTTTGGCTTAAAAAATTTTTTCTTTTTTTGGCTAAATACCTATATTAAAGTGTAATTTTCCTGGAATTTTAAAATAATTTTTTTCCGATTTTAAATTAATTTAAAATATCATATCCAGTCTCTAGAAAGTTTGGCGGATCCGGATCCGAAAAAAGGCAGGATATCCGGAAATTTTCGATTCGAATACCGAATCCGGATATTCGAAGATTTCCAACTATCTGCCAACCTTATTCTCTAGTTAAACAAATCTTAATATGTATGTATTGTATAACGTTAAATGCATATTATCATTGTACTAAAAAGCGATCTTTTTAACTAAAGATTTTTAATTTTTTACAACTAAAACACAAAATAGTACCTATAACATATAGGATATTTTTTCTTAAGTATTGGATAGAGTCAGATTCAGATTAAATATTCGAATCTTATTTATTATTTAAAGATAAATTTTTATAAAGTTTTTTATTCAAAAATTTTTTGTTGCATGAATGGTTTTTGCATTATTCAAAAAGAAAATAAGAGTTTTTACTTGCGCATGCATATAAAAACTAAATCCAATTTGTTTGTGTATATTTGTTGGTTTTGACTTTTATTCACTAGTGGCAGCTGCCCAAAAAGGCAATTGATGAGTCGAAGCTAGCTTGTTGTTATTTTTATTTTGTTAGTGCAAAATGAATGAGAGAATAGCTTTAGCTAGCTGTTAGTTGGCTAGTGAATATATAAAAATAAAAAATATATTTTTTTTTGTTTGATGGTAATTAAGTATTTCTTAATTTATGTTTGTTTTTTTAGAATTATTGAAAATAAAGAAATTATTTGAAATAAATTACAAAATAAATTATATTAAAGAATTGGTTTTATTAGGCAGATAGTATAAGAGTTCCCTTAGCACTACTAGAATTAATGCTAAGGAAAACAATGAAATTATTTAAAAATATTTAAAAATATCTTTTTATAATATTTTCTAAAAATTATCGAGAAATATTATTTTCTATAAGCTGAATAAAATAACTTACGGGCATTATTTAATGGAACTATGCCATTAGGGTTAGTGGCAAGTCCGACTCGAAGGAAAATTAAAAAAAAAGTTTTAATTTAAAAATTTCAAGATTAAAATTTTGCATCGAATTTTGACCTAAAAAACTCGATTGATCCAATTCGAAAAAATGTCGCTAGAAAAACGGCTTGAACGTAGGCATGATTCGAAAACTCCAACCCTTTAAATACATATGTCATATAATAAAAATTTATGGAATAAGTAGGAAACGTAAGACGTAGGAATAAGTAGTCAAAAAATAGCTAAAGATTAAATAAATCTATCGAAAGCAAAGGTGTTCTTTCTATCTATAGATTCTTTCTATCTAGAATATTTGGTAAAGATCAGTTAAAACTAACCAAAATGCCATCAGAAAAAATAAGTAATTTGCTATAATATTTTTTATTTTTCCTTTTATTTAATTTAATTTTATGGATGTGAATATTTGACATATAGTAATGGCATTTTCTAGTGCCAATTGCTTATTCAATTGCCTTTCTTTTTCAAATTTTAACCAGTTGGAATGACCACAGTCATCCCGAAAATTGGATAAAATGGACAAAAAATTTCAAAGGTTGTTCAATAAATTGGGCATCTCAATTTAATCTTAAAAGATGGAGAACATGAAATTAAAAAGGGAAAATTTAATTTAAATATAGTATAAAATATTCCTTGAATAAAAAGTATTCAAGAAATATTTTTAAAAAATTTATGAAATTAAAAATTATTAATCATGTAGCAAAGTATGATTAATGCATAAAATTTAGGTTACAAAATTTTTTTCAAAGTCAATGTTTATAAAAGAATAATTACAATTAAATAGGTATATTGGAAAAATTATTTAAAAACCCACAAACAGTTAAAATTATTTATTGCACGTTTAACAAAACATCTTTCTCAAAATTGGACTTAAAACAAATAAATAACTATATTTTGGGAAATATATTTTGTTTTAATATATAAATTAAATTATCTTGAATTTTTATTTCTATTAACAGCCTCCGCCACATCCACCGCCGCCACCACAACCTCCACCGCCTCCACCACCGCCACCACAACCACCGCTACTTGAACCGCTATATGGACCGTAAGGACTAAAAATATTAACAATTATTTTCATGATTTAAATAGCCTACCCATAGGGTCCATAAGAATAAGGACCATAGGGGCCGTAAGGACCATAGCTTTGGCCACCGCCTCCTCCTCCACCACCACAACCTCCACCACATCCTCCACCTCCACCGCCACAACCTCCTCCACCACCTCCAGTTTGAATAACTTGAACTCCTAAAATAGTTGAGTTATAGTGCAAATGATTTGTGAGGATTTCAGATAAGTATCTTAAATGAAATTTAAAATAAATTAAGCACCTCCTCCACCACCACCACATCCCCCTCCTCCGCCGCATCCACCACCACCACCGCCGCCGCAACCTCCTCCACATCCTCCACCGCCTCCGCATCCTCCTCCACCACCACCACCACAACCGCCTCCTCCTCCGCTTCCTCCACCACAACAGCAACACACCGTCCCCCCGCCCGACATCATTGGAAATCCAAGTGAATTCACAAATGGGATTGTCAATCCCAAAAATGTAATGCTGAGAATTATGGGAAGGAATAGACTTTGCATTATTATAGTCTAAGACTGCCTAAATATAAAATTAAAAATACAGAAGCAATAATTATGGAAATTATATTAATTTAAGACAATATAAAACACTTTATCATCGTTATATTATCTATCATGAAGTGTTCATATTTGTTTGGAATTCAAAATTGAACTTAGTTGATTGTATAAAACGATTAAAGTCAAAACTCCCTTAAATCCAGTCAAACTTTATCTGAAAATGACGACCGATGGCTTTATATCCATTTTTAAATTCAAAGAAATAGGAACGATTAGAATATAATGATTAGATTTGAGATTATACAATAATTACAGATGTATCATTAAACTTTAATTTGAAATCTAAGGGGTGCTCTTGAAGAATTGAAATTATATCTTAAACATTAAATAGTTTAGGCTGTATTTTGTTAATGTTTAGGGAAAAATAGTAAAAAAATAATAAACTGTTAATAAATACAAACTTTTTTATTCTTCTACATATCAGCTAATTCCTTTAGAAGAGTAATTATCTATCCAAATAATCACAGCTTTATCAAAAAATATATAAAGTGTTTATTTGTTCTCATCTTTACTATAAAATAATTTTTAATCTCGGAATATAAAAACTTGTTTGTCTAGAAGGCTGCGGAAATAAAAATTTTTATATATGAAAAAGGATGATTGAGGAAGAGACTAATTAAAAGGATAGTTGCCGAGATATGTTTATAGTGCGTTTTTTGTTTATATTTGTTCGTCAATGGCTATTTCAAAGCTCATAATAACTAAGCTCAATAACAAAAAACCCAAAACAAGTTTAGATCTCTTTAGGAAAAAATTTAAAATATTACTTAGAAAAAGCCTATACATATTTAGCTAATGTAAATTGATAAATAAAAAAATATTTTTAAAAAATTTGGAGTAAAATTTAAACGAAGAATTAAAAATTTGAAAAGATTGTTTAAAGAGACTTTTTTGTTAAATATTTACGGAAATAAATTACAAATAATGTCAAAATACTTGAATAAAAATATATTTTAAAGCTATTAGTTTCTAAAATAATACATAATTTTGCTTTCTGATAAGATTTTTCCTTAGCATTATTTTTTGATCTTTAAATTATTTTGATATTTCCAAATTAATCAGAAATTATGTTTACCGTATCAAATCTCCACTCGATAAGCTATTATTTGTAAAATACTTTTGTTGAGCCTATAAAGTATTTTGGAAGCTGTAAGGTGCTGCTTGAAGCTGTAAAGTATTTTTTCTGCATTTATCAACTTGAGCCACATGGAACGATTCAAAAAACTATAACATGTTTGTCAGAAATTGGAGCCTACGCTGAATTACTGAGTTAATTTTTTATCGGTCCATTACATTTTTTATGAAAAGAATTTCATAAAGGTGTAACTTTTGTATTTTGCCCTACTTTATCTAATTTTTATAGATTTGAATCCGCCGAAATCAAAAAAATTCTTATAATTTCTGAATGAAATTAAAGGATTCCGCTGTTGCTATTGTTAATTAAATATATAAAATAATGAAAAACAAAATTAATATTCTAACTATTTAATTAAAAGTATTATAGCTATTTAATTAATAAATTGATTTAAAAATTCTTATTTAATTTCTCTCTCCTCTCTTAAACTTTTTAAAATTTTTTATTGATTATTGTAATTTTAAAAAATTCTACATGGACAATGTATATAGAATATAGACAATTTCGCTATACATATTCTTTATTTCATTAATAAAATTCAATGCCGACCTCTTTATTTAAATTTTAAATTTACTCTCTTTAAATCCAAATTAAATTTTTTAAATTACATATAAATTGAATAAAACATTATAAATTAAAAGTTTTTACTGACATTTAATTATTATTGTGAAGAAATTTTATGAGTAGAAATTAATAATTTATAATTATTAATTTTTTAAAAATTTAATAATTTATAGGTAATTTTAAAAATGCATTTAATGCATTTATTAAAATTAATTCAATTATTTGTTTTGCTTCTTTGCGTTGAAGGTTTAAGATTTTGTTTGTTTTTAATTGTTTTTACATTTTTAAGAATTATTTGGTGGTTGTTTTTCAAGCAAACAACAACATTTTTGTTTGTTAATTTTTTAACAAATAATTAAATATTAGAATAAAATTATAAATGGTTTTGATTAGGGTTCAGATTGGTACTTATTTTGGAAGTACAGTACATAGAAATCGACCTCCGTACTTCCAAAATAGTAAATGTAATTTTTTGTAAATTGAACTTTTTGGTTATAAAATTAAATATATCCGTTTAATTCTCATAATTTTCGCTTGCGGCGCAGAAAAGTTGAAAATTTTTCCATCATGTACCTCCAAATTAAACTTTTTGTATTACACTTAATATTTTCTCGATGGAAACCCTGATTTTAATTATTTAGAATTACAAATTTCCCTTCTAAATATTTTTCCAAAAAAATTTTTAATTTGTTTGAAATCCTCTTTAAAATTTTTATAAATAATAAGGTTATTCAAGCACATAATTTTTAATAATGATTAACTGCGATTAAAAGTTGAATTTTTTAAATTTGACGAAACAGGTGTCAAACAGATAAAAACATTAAAATAAATATAAATTTGACACAAAGATATTTTTTTGATTTTTTAACTTTTTGAATTAATAATCGTTTAAACAATAAATATAATAAAAGACCAAAATTATATTTAATTAAAATTTAATAATATTTAAAAAACAACTATTTATTTAAATTTTAGCTGGACCCAGCAGCCCTCACGGATGGGGACATGAAGATGAAACAGGTTATTTAAGTGAAAAATGTCTAGTTTAAGGATGTCTTCATCTAAATTTTAATTAAACTTTATGATATAAATAACTGTAGGGAAAAGCATGATTTATTTAAAAAATAAATAAATAAATATAAATATATCTTTAATTATAAATCATTAGAAAGTCCTCTTTCAGCTCCGATGTGTGATTGTGAAGAATTTTATCAATCAGATCTCGAAGAAAAAACATTGAACCTAGTAAATGGTCAACAAACATTTCTAATTTCACCAAATCTTTTAGGATCTGGGCAATATGGTGATGTATGTGATATTAAATGATTAAGATAAAAATAGTTTAAAATATATTTTATAAGTTAAATTGACTTTACAAATAGTATGTTAAGTCAATTTTACAAATATGTATGTACTCACATATTTTTATTCAAATTATTTATAATATGTATAATAGTTAAACCCTTAACAAATTCTTGAACAATTTAATTTAAAAAATTATTTCTATACGAACAAATTTTATATAAAAAATAAAATTATTTAAATTGAATATATTTAATTAAAAGATTTATCATGCATTTTGGCCACATTATGGAATTTGTGTTGCATTAAAAGAATTCAATGAATCTAATAAAGCAAAATCAGAAATAAAAGTACTTGCTCGTATTAACGACGCTGATGATCATATTATACAGATGCATGGATAGTATGTTATATATTTTTTCTAGAATTTGTTGAACTGATTTCTGTCATTCTTTCATTTTTTTTGTACTCAATGCCTATAAGATTAATTACATAAGACATTGTACGCAAAAATATAAAAATTAAGTAATTGCATCCTGCAAAATCCTATCAATAATTCCAAATTTTTAGCCCTGTAGGCAAGCAGTCAATAGGCAATTTTTATATCTTTTCAGCCACGTAGGCTGAAAAAATTACAAATATTTTTATAAACATTTAAATTAATTATTTAGCCAAAAGTATCCACGAACAATTATTGTAATGGAGCTTGGAGGAATGAACTTCGATAATTATTTCAGTACAGAAATTTTGCACGAAGGACAGAATTATAATGCAAATGATCATGAAGTTATTCTCACTGATATGCTTTTATGTGCTGCTCGAGCACTTGGACAGTTTCATAAATGTTAGAATTCTATTTTTAAAATCAGTAAATAAAAGTACAGAGAAATTTATCAGATGAGCTATTGGGAAAGATCTTAAATCTATTGTTTGGTATTTGTTTGAATGCCATTGTCCCTTATATCACACCACATGAAAATTACTTTTTACGTGTTTCGACTTGGTTTAAATTGTACTTGAAAGTCTTTTTAGAAAAAATATTCGGACTTTTGTTTCAAATTTTCGTTTATATTTAATACAAAATTATCGTAAAATATTTTTATTTAATAATTTTAGATGGCATTCATATGGATGTTAAAGGTATAAATTTTATTACTATCAAAGGACAAGAATCATGGGGAAAAATGCATTTATGTAAAATAATTGATTTTAATTCTTCTTTTATTACTGATAACGAAGAGGTAGTAGAAGTCGAGAAAAAAGATATTATTGGTACTGGACTTTACATGCCTCCTGAAATTAAAAAGCAGCATCATACTATAGGTTACTTTTTGGCCTAAACAGAAGTGTTACGTTCATTTCAGAGATATATGTAAATTTCAGAAATAATTTAAAAAATGAATTTCAAAAAAAATTCATTTCAGAAATAATAAACAAACATTTTTCTCTGATACTATACATATATAGTATGTATATTTATTATTTATCATACAGATATTACGATATCCGTTTAAAAATTAATAATTTTTTAGGGTTGACTCGAAAGATTGACATTTATGCATTTGGTGTAACTATCTACAAATTTTTGTTTAGTCCACACGCTGAACTTAGAAATTTATACCCAGATTCGCTTAATTATCATGGACGTTTAGGAAAATTAGCAAAGGTAAATATTAATCTAAATTTAAGAAAAGTTGTAGATTTTTCATTGCGATCAAACTTTTGTAATTTTAACGCTAATTGAAATTTTCCGCTAAAATAGAAATTAAAAAAATTTGTCCATCATAATTAAAAATCTAAAAAAATCCCTAACGAATCAAAAAGGTTTTTAGTCGGATTTTTTATATTACTGGACATTCGAAAAAATCTAGTTACGCTTCTACTTTCTTACATGTGAATGTCGGGAAATTGTATCATATTACCATGGATATTCGCTTAAATTCCGTACTTTTGCCAACTTAAAACTTTAAAAATCAAACTTAAAGGCTTGCTTACGAAAAGACCCACGTGCCCGTCCTGAAATAGAAGAAGTTATCTGCTTCCTGATGAACGAATGCGATGAAATTTGAAAAGAATTTTATTACCTGAAGCGGTGATTAAAATGATGCGATATTGAAAAAAGTTTTTATTATTTTTTCGGTATAATTTTGGTATACGACACAGACGCCAATCTGGCTGAATTAGGTATTTATCATTCGAAAGTGCTCGCCGAACTGAGTTGAATGGTACCACTGAGTCGAATGGTACCTAGCTTAGGCTGCAGACTTAAATATGGGTCATAATCTCTGAATCGTAAAACATAGGATGAGAAAAATTTTAGCTCATAAGTCAAATCTGGGGATTTGACAACTAAATCTTCGGTTGAAAAACTTTTTATGCTAAATATGAAGTGCAGATCCGCATTTTAATGCTAAAAATCGGTAAAATAGAATGGGTTTATTTAATGCGTGCAGAACCGTGCCATAAAACCTCGCACTACACAGTAGGTTTACTTTGCCAATAGGTTTACTCTGTTTTACCCTGTTTAGAGCTAATTTTGTGTCATTCGACTCAGCGCGATGAGCTTTTTCGAATGAGCTATCATTTGCATGTTCGACCACAAAAATGCTTGATCCCCTATGATTCTCCTATATCTCTGCCCATATCTGAGTCCGTAGTTTAGTTTCGGTAACATTCAACTCAGCGCGGCGAGCTCTTTCGAATGACATTTGACAAGCCTGGCCTGTGTCCTATAGCGAAATTTTTCCATATTTTCCGTTTTTCTTTTCAAGCATACATATGTAATTTTTATTTTAACATCATTATCTTTATTTTTTATTTATTTAAAAGATAAATGGCAACAAAAGATTCGCTTACAATTCTTTCTTGTAAAATTAAATTTAAATGTAAATTAAAACTTATATATTAATTTAACATTTAGACAATTTTAATTTTTCATATGATTCTCTAATTTTAAACTTTCCGTAGAATGTTTGTTCAGTTGAAGCTAATGGTTGATTTAATTCACATTTATATTTTTTATTTATCTAAATATTTTTAAATATTTAAAAATTTTTAATTATGAATGGTTCGAATGTTTTTTAGCACCAGAAAGTTAAAAATTGCTCTAGGAATAAATAAAAGTTAATAGAAAATGTCTTTTTTTAATCTCTAAAATTATGTTCACAGGAAATTTATTATATATATTAGATATATTCGAAAAATTAATATTTTATTCTGAAAATCTTACAATATCCTCAGGATAATTATTAAAAATATCCCATTGATCTGAAAGAGAAATATTGCTGTTTATAGGAAATACTCCAGTAAATAGTGCATCCTCAACATGAAAGGCTACAATTTCCTTTGACTTAATAAGAATTGCTTTAACTGCTTCTCTTAAATAATTATTTTAATTTAAATTAATTTACATATTTAACCTTGATAGTAAATAACTTGGACCAGTCATATAAGGAGGATAATATTCGTCAGAAAATTCTTCATCGGGTACAAAACTAGCAAATATTTTTAATAAGTAATCGAATTACCTTATCAGACAAATCTAAACTCCTTACTATTTTTCGTATTTTTCTTTAACTCTTGGACTGTTTGGATATATTCTTCCAAAAATTGTGGCATTATTCTTTTTTAATTCATTCTTAAGCTTATTATCAATCCAAAAGTTTAATCTAGGTATATGTACAGCCATATCATCATCAACTTTTAATGTCCATTCTGCATTTGGACAAAATTCCCACTTCCATTGGAATGCTGCCATTACCTTTAAATATATTTTAAGAACAATTTTGAAATTAAAAAATAATTTAAAATTTAAATATTTACTTTAAGATGTAAATTTTTATAAACATCATAAAATCCATTAACTGATATTATGTCTCTATATTTGTATTGTTCTTCAAAAAGCATATTCTGTTCTTCACTACTTAAACTATAAGGTGGATCAGCGATAATAAAACGAGCTGTAACTTTCCCTTCAAACTTAATTATTTAAATTTAGCTACAAATCTAAGATTTTAACCAACAGTCTCATTTAAATAAGTATTCCTTATTTCATTTCGTAAATTTACTGAATATCTTCTTATTGGTATCAATATTACTAGCTTTGTTTCATCTGTACATGGTGTAGTATCTGGCTTTTCAATATAATATATTATTTGCTTATTTTTAAATTTAATAATAAACCATTGAGGTATTACAAGTTCTATCTAAATAAAATATTTTTTAATTTGTTAAAAATTTACATCGAACACACATAAATTATAGGACTAATTTGAAAATATTTCCCTTTTCTAATCCCAAATTATTTATCTTTTACATATATAATTACCATATATTTTGGACATCTATCAACAATTTTATTTAAAATATTTTTATTAACAATTAAATCTCTTGATCTTCCTAAAGTATTTAAATTAATTTGCATTTTTAAAGACAAAATTCCAAGAAAATCAGCAATATATGGGAACTGATTTTCTTTTTCTTCGTTCGCATATTTTTGGTCAATTAGATTTGAATTAATTATTTTTTCTAAAAAATTTTTAGTTAAATTAATTAAATTTATTAGCTAACCTTTATTTAATTTGTTTGATTGAACGCAGTCAAAAAGGAATTCGATAACTTCAACAATACTAACATTTTCAATATGGAGAGTTCCACTTAAAGATTTAATTATTTTTTAAATGATAAATCAGGAAATAAAATTATAAACATTTTTCACAAAATGATTTTGATAAAAAAAATTATGCTTCTCATTAAAGATCTTGAAAAAAGTTTCAGTTATCGAGACCGATATTTTTGAGATCTCGATTATCATACGATCTTTCCAGTCCGGCCTCTACGTCAAATTAAGATACCAAAAACCTGATCATGAAAGATTATTCAATTTATAACAAAGTTAAGTAATTTTTATTTGAAAATATTTAAATAAAATTATTTACTTTAAATTTTTTAAAAATAATTTTGATTTAATTTCCAATCCATTATTTAATTCATTTTCAATTATTGACAATTCATTACATTTTCTTTCATTATTATTTAATAAAGCTATATTTTTATTAATTTCAAATCTTTTATTAATTTTCCAATTAATGTTTGTGGGTAAATTTGGATAACAAAATGTTAATTTTAAGAAAATATTTTTATTTTAATTAAACTGTTTTGGGAATTTTAGAGTACATTTTACTCTGTCTTTAATATCCAATAAAACATTTATCAAAATTATTTAAAAAAAATTTTACTTTTTACAATTTTCCCATATTTCTTTTATTAAATCCAAATTTTCACAAATTGTCATATTCTTAATTTCAATCCCTTCAATTGTTTTTAATCCATTTATTTTATTTAGATAAATTAAAATCAAAAAGGCAATAAATAAAAACATTTATTTAAAATAATTTGTATTTAACTATTAAATAAAACATAGCCATCGTTTTATGGAAAGTTCCAAATATTTTATACTGATTCATATAAATTTTAAATCGAATTAAATTAAATTGTACGTACTACATATGTGTATGATTTAATTATTATGTAAATAATAATTTATTTAAAAAATATTATAATATTCATAACTTAAATGAATCTGTTCACAGAATTCTATCCGCAGAATCTGCAGACAATTAAAATAAGGCCTAGATAGTGAATAAGGTTAATCGACGACTGGGAGCGAATTTGTTTCTTCAGTTGATCGGACCAGATTTCGAAAATTTTGGAAGGTCAAGAAGCCGATTTCATCCATTTCCAGCGCCAGATATGATAGAAAATTACCGAAAATTCCCGATTTTTCAGAACAATTTCGGAAATTCCCGATGAAAATTTAATTCCCGTTTTCGTGAAATCAGGATTCCCGACCCAAAAAAACGTAGGGAATTCCCTATTTTCGGGAATCGGGACGGCTCGTTCCCTGATCCACATACGAATTTGCGAACTTGAATAGTTTTTACGCCCTGCCCATTTCTTTCGCCACGGTTAGATACTCCCTCCTAATTTTTTTGCCCTAATCCAATGATTAATTGCCTTGATGAAAAAGTGTAAAATTGTGGGGATATTTTTTATGTTTAAATTTAAATTTTACATTGCCTGTTTAACTAGTTTTCGCTTGTTTATCTAAACCTTTCTCAAAAAAATTTTTTGAGAAAATTGCCTTTAAACAATAAAATTTGAATTATTCGACTAAAATACTATTAGCTTTTAATTAATAATATTTTGAATTTTAGATTTTTATGGAACAACAATGCAAAGTTTAATTAAATTGAAAAACGGGCAGATTACTTTTTAAGATTTAGAGAAAAAAATAAATTTTTGAGAATTATTTAAATAATTTTGATCTCTCTTAATTTTATTTAGTTTTTGATTTTTGGAAATTTAAGAATTTTTTTCAAAATTTTTTTGGAAATGCTTGATTTTGTTTTTCGTTCAATCCCTATTAAAAAATTAAAATTTTGTTTGTTTTGATTTTTTCAGTCAGTTTTTTAAACTGATTTATGTTCAAGTCTTTAAAATTAATTTTAAAAATTTTTTCTAATTTCCTAGTGAACAGCTTTATTGTAATTAAATACTATTGGTGACATCAAAAAAAATTTTTTTAACTACAAAAAATCTTGACGTAGAAAAATAAAAAAAATCAACAAAAAAATTAAAACCCATCAAAATTTTTTTTGAGGCCTAAAACTTCTGAAAAATGGAAAAAATTAGCTTTTGTCCTCCATTGTCCCCTAACAACTTTGCAACAACAAATCCTTCCCAACTTTTAGCAGACCAAGACCATTTAGATAAATTGTCCAATCAATTAAAATTGTTAAAAATAGATGATTTGACAATCAACAAAATTTTGAAAAAATTCAAACCGATCAAAAATGAGGTGAAAGTTGAGGTGAAATGAATTATTTTTAAATTATAATTGCTGAGGATTTTTTTTGGCGAATTTTATTTAAAAGAATTTCTCTTAATTTTAAATCTTGATAGTCAAACTTACAGAATTCCTTATGCCTGATTTTATTTTTAATTTTTTTTTTCAATATTTTAGTCGACGGATTGTCAAATACTTGAACCTCAACAACAACAACCCTTTGTTGGTTATGATGGATTGTTTGAATTTGCCATTTCTCAAGTAATTGATTGTGGCTATGGACATGTTCTTCCTACTAAATTTTTTGGAACCAACAAGTTGGAACTTAGGAAAAATAAAAAATCTTTCCATCTAAACCCGCTCCTTTATTTCTCATCTCCCTTTAACTTTATTTTATTATTGAAAATATGTATAATTATAACCGTTTATTTTATGTATACATACTATGTAATCAGCTGTAATTTTGATTATATTTTAAAAATTATTTTTTAAAATTTTTTATATTAAAGAAGGAAACTAAAATTTAATATTAATTTGAAACAACCTAAACAACATTTAAAAAGTAAAATAAATACGGATAGAAGAATTGAATTGGAAAATGCAAAGCTAATGGTAGAGCAGCTTAAATTAGTTAATAAAATTTCAAAAAATACTGATCTATTCTCCAATGAAATTCTTACACAAATGTTGGTCAACAGCAATAATTATGTGCAAGGATTTACTTCAGGTGTTCAGATGTGTAACAAAAAAAATTTTGATTTCTGGAAAATTGTGTTTGATGCACAGACTCCATTATGGATTATAGTTTGAGGGATTTGAGGATTTTTGTTATTTTAATGGTTGAAAAGTTGACAAATAAGAACGAAAAAGTTTACGAAACAAAAATAAATATTTTTAACTTTAAAATTGAAATAGATTTAAAAATATTTTTTAGTCTCTAAAAAGAAATGTGGACATATAACTAAGGAGAAAGAAAATGTAAGTTTATCTGATTAAAAATTAACTCGAAAACTACATACTTTTACTAAAAAGAAATGTAAAAATTTATAACTTCAAAGCCTTAAAAAATTATTGTATAGATGCTAAGCCTCTAAATCTAGATGTCCTTAGCTCCAATAAATTTTAAAAATTCTAAATATTTTGCATATTACGAGAATGTACAAGAGCGAAAAAAATTAGTTATGTACGAGAAAGTACGAGCAAATTTTAAAATTTAAAACACTAATTCTCATTTATATTTTAGTAAATGTACATTTAAAAAATGTTCCGATGGTTAACCAAATTGGATAAGAAATACTGAATTGAAGGATTTTATGATGTTGTTTTAATGTTATTCTTATATTTGGTAATACTTGCGGTTTACCTCTTTCCTTTCTATTTTTCTCCTTTATGGTAAATTAAAAATAGTATATCATTTGGAAGAGCTCTTCTATTTGAAAAAAACAAAAACATTGTATCTTTAGCCTAATTGTTTATCCCTTGTAATTCCTGTCTTTGTTGTTTGGTGTAGGTGTATAATTCCAAATTTTATCAAGAAACGCTTTATAAAATATATAAAGAGTTCAAGGTTCGAATCCAACTCGTTGGATATTATTTTTATTTGGCTTATTTTTGGATATTTTAAATTTTTAAATGTTTTTTTTGTTTAAAAATTTTTCTTGTCTTTTTTTTTCCAAATTTAAATTTTTGTTCAATATCTCAAATATACTTTCATTCTGAAAATCTTCTAATGATAAATAATATGTAAATTACCTATTTATCAAACAAAAAAAATAATAATGTTTAGGAAAAGGAGGAGAGCGTGTAACCCAAAAAGTATTACCTGTTTTATAATTTTTTAACATGTTTAATACTCTTCTAACTTATTTTATTTCTATTATAGAATAAATAATTAAAATTACATTTTTTGTTTTGACTTTTTAATCAGTTTTTAACTTATTTACTTTTCAAGTTGTAGTGCACCTTATAGTGACTTTTATCAATCGGTCGAAAATTATGATTTTTTTAGTAAACCTTTTAATTCTCCATTCAATGATACCAAGAATAAGAAGAAATGACTGAACCGATATTATTCGAAAGAACTCAACAAGCTATGTCGAATGACACAAAACATCTTAATTGAACGAGATTTGACATAGTTATGAGATAATTTATTCATATTGGGGTCGAAGAGAACCCTAATAATCGCGCAGATATTTTGTCTCAATCGCAGACTACGTCATTTAGTTTAAATTTATTATATAACTTCATTAATTCTCTACGAAAAAAACCTTTTTTATCCTCGAACATGAGCATTGTATTACCATGCATTTTAATTTTATTCTTTAAAATAAATGATAGTAGAATATGTAGCTATAAAATTATTATCAAAAAAATAATGTATTAATTGAAGGAGAAAGTACTTCCCAATATTTATCAAAAGTATTGTTGACAATAAGTGCTAATCCAGGAACGAAGAAAGTAATCGAGTAGAGCAATGCAGGTATTATTGCTAACTAAAAAAAGAATAAAAATATACACTAATTATTTCAATTTTTATTATTTAAAATAAATTTACCATAAAAGTCAAAAGCAAAAGTGTTCTAATAATATCAATTAATCGCCATTCATAAGAAGAATTACCCAAACGAGTTGATATTGTCAAAAAAGTAGCTAAAGCAGGCAATAAAATTAAACGACCCTCTGTAGCTAATTCATCTCGAGCTGAGGGAAGTGTTTGGCCGGTTAATGCATCCCTTGCCTCTATATTTAAGAAAGAGGATTGTTCAACAAGTCTGTATAAAATAATTAATTTTATTTTTAGGAAATTTTAATTAATATGTAGTTGAGATACATATTTGGAAATTTGAAAAATATTTGATTAAATGTTTGCTTTTTAAAAATTTAGTAGGCAAACAATTCTAGCTCAGTTACACCCCGAGATTTATAACATATACCCTTCTTTAATTGTAAAAATGAATTCATACAATATTTAAAAATAACCTGATAGACCATACAAGGAACAATCTAAAGAAAAAATTAATTGCATTTTTAAAAATATTTTAAAAATAGTTTCATTTATTTAATTATTTTAACTAAAAAATATTTTTTAAAATAAAATATAAACGTTTCTATAGTTCCAAGTACAATAACAGTACTAGCCAGAAAACGCCAAAATGGACATTCAGCATTAGCAAAAGTATTAAGAATTCCACCAGCAATGCAGATTGTGCCGTATATCCACCAATCTGGTACAAACTTTAAAAAACTGAAATAATTTATTGGACCCAAAAATAATATTTTAATAAATCTCCTTCTATTTTGCGTTGTTAACCAAATTTATTGAGTTATTCATTCACATTTAGAATTTTTAAAATTTACATAATTTAAAATTTTATTTTAAATTTATACCATATATAAATATGCAGATAAAGTCAGAAGAATAGCACTAAACCCTAACTGAATTGATCTAGTCTTCATAAGTGTCAATTAAAATATTATAGTTTATTTAAAAATATTTAAATTATCTAAAAAATATTTTTTTATTTTAAATAAATTATATGTATATTAAGATTTATTTAAAAAATATTAAATTTTTATTTAATTTTAACAAATTTATTTAATAAAAATCGATTATATTTTTGAGAAAGAATGCACTTAATGTGAATGTTTTAACTAAATAAATGGTTGGTTTTCCTCTTATTTTTTCTTTTTCCTCTTATTTTCTAGCATGCATAGTCGAATCGGATTTTTAAGCATTAAAAATTTTAAAATATGGGCTATAATATGCTCAAAAATATGCATTAAAATACAATTTATACACCAAGATTATTAAAAAGATGTCACTTTAGCGATAATTTATCGAAAATTTGTAATTTAGTTTTTAAATAAATCATAAAATACAATATGAAATTGGAAAGAACTGATAAGTAAAATTATAAAATATCAAACGTAATAAAATTTGATAAAAAAACATTAAAAGATTAGAGGAAATAAATAAATTGATTTTTTAATAAATATTAATTTAAATTAATCTTCAAAGTTTATACATAGTTTAGCTATCATTAGCATCATGAATTAATATACCTATTAAATTAAATTTAAAATATTAAATTTAAAAGATAAACTGAAATTATGCCTCAAAGATATTTACAATAAGAACACAAAAATGGTTTCTCTAAAAAATACTTATAAGAAATAAACTAGATAAATATGTAAATATTTAATTTTTTTTCCATTCTTAAACAAATTCTTTTAACTTCTAAAAACAAAACTTAAATTAATTTATTATACATATTTTAAATTTTTATTTAAAAAAATTTTTTCCCTATCTCTCTCTCAAATAAATATAATTTAATATAAAAAATGACACAAAATGATGAATCAAAAATTATCAAAAAAATTTTTTAAAAAGTTTTGATTAATTAATTAAAGGGAATGGAATGCGGGTTTGTGATGACAAAATAATTTTGTGTTTTTGTATTTTAATTATTTTAATTTTTTTAAATTAAACGTCCAAAAAAGAGGAAATTAAAGGGAAAGGTAAAAGGAATGCACGTAAATTCTTTCTACTTTTTTTCTTCAATTACCAAAATTTTTCAACTTTTTTGATGAAATATATAAAATGATTGAAAGCATTTTTGCCATAAAATTAATTATTAAATATTTTTATATATTCGTGTGGTCGTTATCTGCGCGATATAAATAAATAAAATTATAAATATTTAATTATTTTTAATTTTATATTTTGACAGTTTTTGTACTACAAAAACCTCTCAAGCGAACTTTAATAATTAATTTTTTGTAGAGAAATTAATTTCAGTTGATACAAATTTTAATTTTAATCATTTTCCATTATCATTTATTTCACAACCTTTATTTTTAATTTGAACATATACTATTTATTAACAGGAGAGCTTATTATAAAAAATTGTTATATTTATTAAGATGCCTCTTAATATTTTTGTCACAGCTGAAGAAGAGAAGAAAGAAGTAAAAATAGATGATATAACTTTAATGTTTTTTGATACTTTAATGGTTTTTAATTTGTAAAAATTATTTTTAAATTAAATTTTCAGGCTTCTTTAAATGCAGCTTTTCCAAATATAAAAACTTTTTATGATTTTTTTGAATGTTTGTTTTTAATTAAAAATATTTGTAAAGGACATATTAATTAGAAAAATTAAATCAAAATTTACATAATTTTTAAAAATAAAAAAATAATTTAAAATTAGACAAATAAAATTTTTAAATTTAATTAAAATATTTTTATAAAAAATATAATTTATTAGATTGTGATGAAGATGGTGATAAAGTTTCTGTTCGTTCAGATGATGAATTACAAACATTTTTAGTTGAAGTTATTCGTAATTTTGAAGAAAACAATAAAAAATTGGAAATTAAATTAAAATCAAATAATTTAATAATTTCTCAACAATTAAGTATTGAGGAAGAGGATGATGGAGTTTTGGATAGTTATTTAAATAATAATCAAGAATGTTGTTCATTGACATTACCTGAAATTGTTATGGAAGGGAATAATGGAGTGAAAAATAAAAAAATATTATTTGATAAACAAATTAGGTAAAAGATTTAAATAAAGACAAAAAATTAATTAAAATTTAAAGAAATTCAAGTCCAAATACAAACATAATTTTTGGACCAGAAGATTTGCAATTAATTGAATGCTTGTCTGAAGGGCAATTTGGGACAGTTTACAAGTAAATAAATTAATTAATTATTCTAAATTAATTTTAAAAATAATTTATTTTTAATAGAGCACTTGATGTAAAAAACGATCGTTTATTAGCAATTAAATGTTTAGCTTTAGACGGGGGTAATGGAACAAGGCAGGGACTATTAAATGAAATTGCTATTTTAAAAGTAGGCATATTTTAATTTATAAAATTTATTTTGTTATTTTAAAGAAAAGTGCCCATCCAAATATCGTTACATTTCACGCCGCTTTATTTGTCGAGAATAATCTTTTAATTTGCATGGTTTTTTCAAAATAAAATTTTTAAAAACCCTAATAAATTTTAAAAAATTAAGGAATTAATGGATGCCCTTTCTTTAGATTTATATGGACAATTACACCCTCTAGTACTTGGTGCTTGTACAGTAGCTATTGTGGAAGGACTTAAACACCTTTGGGATAATTCTATTATACATAGGTGTTAAAAAATAAAGATTTTTTAATTTAAAAAAATAATTTTAGAGATATAAAGCCAAGCAATTTTCTTGTAAATTCTTTTGGGGAAGTTAAATTAGCAGATTTTGGTGTTTCTAAACAAATGGCACAATCAATTGCTTGGTCCTATGTAGGCACTAAGGTTGATTATATTAAAAATATTACTGTTTTTTTAAAATAAATTGATAGGTTTATATGGCACCGGAGAGAATAAATGGGAATGTTTACAAGTAAAAATAATTAAAAATTATTTAAAATATTTTTTTATTAGCGTGGCTAGTGATATTTGGAGTTTGGGCATTTCGTTGGCAGAAATGGCATTGGGACAATCTCCATTCAAAAATGATTTAAACATGGATATAAAGTCAACAGAATCTTTAATTATTAAACCTGAACATATTTTTGCTTTACTTTCTGAGAAAGAATTAATAGCAATTGGAAATGGATTTACGGAGGAATTAATTTATGGATGGTAATTGAAAAAACTTTTTTGTCCAACAATGTTTTTTAGTTTAAAGTTAAACCCAAATCAAAGATTTAATGGAAATGCAATTATTTCAACTAAATTTTTATTAGCACATCAACCAATGAATAAAAATATTGTTGCAAATTTTATTAACGAAAGGCGTAAAAATGGTTTACTTCAAAAACAAAATACAGAAAGCTAACTAGTGTTGCTAGGCCACAATTCTAATAAATAAAATGAGACAATTTATTTATTTTTGATAAAATTAATGTAAATAAAGGAGGGATAATGAAAAATTGAATTTTGAATTTAATGAAATATTAATTAATAAATTAAATAATTTAGTTATGCTCAGATATTTGTTTCGTTTGAATTATTTCAAAATTTAAAATTAAATCTTAACAACAGAGACGGGCTGGATAAGCCAGAATTGGATTAGTCAGGTAATCTAAAGGAAAAAATTTGAGGGGATCAACCTCTGAAATGTATGAAAACTAGATTATTTTTTTATAAAAATTTGGGAAGATATGTATTTAATTCCAAATTAGAGATCGGCATTTTCAAAATTCGTATCTGGATTTAGGTTAGTAACCTGGACAGGATTCTTAATCTTGATCCAGGAAAAACCCAGACTGTAGTCGGATCCAGACCGATCTCTAATAAGGATATCCTTTAAATATTGGGAGGAATAATTTATAAAAATAATTAAACTCGATGTGTGGTTACTGCTTCAAATTGCCTTAATTCTGTATAATCTTTCATTGCAATATGTCCAAGCCTTTTAAGCATAATTGATTTAATCAGAGAATTATCTATATAATATCTACCTGTCAGAAACCCATCTACCATTCATTCCGGGAATTCTTGCTGTTGGTTTTCCCCAACTGGAAATTAAAATTATTGTATGTATATTTTTGTTGCTACTTTTCTAATCAGAAATACTACTTTAACTTACATATATCTCTTACTAAATGTTATAGGTATTTACATTAATCAGAAAAATAAAATAAAGACAATAAATAACCTCAAACTTTTGTAGAGAAGTATCTCATCTGTATCCGACCTTTGAAATTAAAAATTTTTAGTTAAAGTACATATAACAAATTACTCTTATTTTATTTAACCAAATTTAACTTACATACTCTATTAATTACAAATGACCACGTATATTGGACCTTATTTTTGGGAAGTATACTTTAAATTAATTACCAAAATGCAAAAATATAATCAGCTTCTCTTGATGGGTTTCTATTTAATTTTTCCAAAAATGCAGAATAATTAACTTGTTCCCCACAAGGAGATGTTGTATAGCCACAAAGTAATTGATCGTCACATGTATAACCAGGATATAAACCCTTTAAAGTTTGTTATTATTAAAGATTTGGTTTCATATTTAATTGATAAAATGAAAATAAAATAATTGGTTGGTCTAAATTTTAAATTAGTTTTAAAATTGTTATATTAATGTAACTAACAAAATTAAAATTATATATAGAATTTTTCTTTTAAAATTAAATTTTCTTTAACTAACATCCAAAGCGTTACACCATGCGGGAACCGTTTGTGCCAATTGACAGACACAAATTCCATAATTTGGCCCAGCAATTCCTAAATTAATTATAATTAATTAAATATTCAATTAATAAGCAATATTTATTTTACTGCCCAAAAATGTGTCGATCCGTTCAGAGAGTGGACGACCTGAAAATTTTTTTTGACTGTTTTAAATTTTTAATTCAGTTCTAACCTAAAGAACAATTTCCATCTGTAGCAATTAATTCACCTCCCTTAATTACTTTTCTAGCCAAAACAACCCCCATTGAATGTGCTATTATATCAACTTTTGGAGCACCAGTATAAGCAAGTATAGCCTCTAGAAAACGTCTAAGAAATATTAAAAATTAATTTCCAAATAAAAAAATATTCCTTAAAAACCTTAAATCAACCAAATAAGAACAAGTATGCATTGTGTTATAGCCATCTTTTTACATTTTAAATTTAGTAGCCAAATAAAATGGAAATTACCAAAAATATTTCCTGTACCCCAAGTATCCCCCCATGTAGTTGCATATCTAATAAAACCAAAAAATCATCTCAACTCAACAAAAAATTATTTTGCTTACAATTCTGCTGAGGTATACTGAAATAATATAAAAAATTAATTACTTAATTAGTCTGTTTAAATTTAAATAAAAAATCTAACATTCTGTTCCATAAAGTATTGAATAGACCTTGTCCAACCTATATTTTTAAATATTTCTTCAGATAGTTAATTAAAATACCGGTTGCTTGGGGGCCTTGAGTATGCAAAGCAGCATCCCCCTTTCAATTAAAAATAATTTTAAATTATTATCCTAATTAAATTGAGGAAACATACAGTGCCATGAATAAAGATAACTGGTTCTTTTTGTATCTAAAATAATTTATTTTATTAAGACAGGTAATCCATGTGGATCTAAACAAGTGAATTAATTAATTTTATTTATTTTATAACTCCGAATTTTGAAAAATTTTATAGTTATGTTGAATTTTTAATATTTTCAATTTAGATATTCTAATAAACATATATTTTACTAATTATTATAATTATTTAAATATTTAATTTTAATATCTATTTCTGTACTTGCTGTGCTGAATTAATCTTTCCACCAAAACTTCCACTTGGTCCAATATCCGGTCTATCAAAAGCATCTTGTTCATACCCATTTGCTATCAACCAACTAACAAAATTTTCTGTCAGAGGTCCTATTACTGTAGATTGGGATTTTGTTGATAATGGTAGAAATATTATGAAAATAATGATAATTCTTAGATTAATTCTTAAATTAACCCGTTTTTGTAAAAACATATATCTAAATAAGTAAAGAAATATTTGAGGTAAATATGATATTGTTAATAATTATTGAGATACTCATTCAAGATGGGAATTTATAGGATATCATCTAATAAAAGAAATCTTTGTAATAATAAATTGGTAAATTAACTATCTAAAAAAGGACTTGCATTTTGATGAGATTATTCTACTATATTATAGCAATTTACTTAGATAAAAAGCTTGAATCATAAATCCGTTTTTGTGATTTTAAGGCATATTTTAAAATTATTTGTCAAAAATATATATTTAATTGATTAATATTATTTTATGCAAAAGATTTTATGATATGTATTTATTGGAAATTGGAAGAAAAATGTAAAGAATAATTAAAACCAGACGATGAATTATTAGATACTATTATGTGCCCTAACAAGCTTTTCTTTACCAACATATTATTAATTTTTTTAACCTCTACATATTAATAAAACTCTCTCAGCCTCACGTCGCCACAACGATCGAGAGAACGGCTAAAGGATGACGCGGCTTACATACACAAAGGTTATTTAAACAAAGATTTACCAGTTTTTGGTCGTAATTAAAAAAAGAATATTTTTTGGAAGTTGATTTTTATATACTATATAATAGCTTTAAAAAGGAAAATTTTGTTATTTTTTGTGAAAAAATTAGTGTATTATGTAGAGTTATAAAGAAAAAATATTTAGTAAATATTATTAAATTATTTATTTTATAAAACTTTTAGCAAAATCAAGGTATGATAAGCCTAAACATGTTAAACTTTAAGGGTCTCGTATTTTTTGAGAGATCTCGTATCTCGTGAATTTCGTTGTATTTTGTGGTATTAGCGCCACACCTGTTATCAAGTGTTGTCATTGTGTTAATAAATTCTTAATGCATCTCGACTGCAAATATTTCTGTTTTGTGATAATAAATTAATTGTTAAAATTTTTAATACTAGAAAGACGAACCAAATTTAAATCCATTCGGAAGTTTTAAAAACCCACAAAAATTAAATAAACTATAAACAAAATATACCAGATGTTAATTAACAATTGTATTTAATGTTTCGAATAAAAAGAATTTTTCGTTTCTAATTTTAAAATTGGATTAAATGTCACGACAAAAATAAATTAATTGCCAGAATTAATTCAAAAATCTCATTATAATTTAATAAACTATATTTTATAATTTAAAATTATCTCAGCATCTGTCTATTTTTTTTTATTTTTAGATTAACATTTAAAACAATTATTATTATTAAAAAGTTCTTTTCTCACAATTACTAAACATTTATTTGCGTCAATCGTCGAATTTTTCACACGATTTTAATTAAAATTTAAGTAGAAAGTTTAATCAGATTTAAATTCAAGTGACTTTAAAGAAAGATATGACAAAAACAAAAAGTGTTCTTAATTCGCCATACTCGTTATTAATACCTTTTACTCAAACTTTTAATTAAAACTTCTCAAGATTTTTATTTATTAATTTTTATTTAAAATAAAAATCTTCAATTTTATTTTCTTAAAAACAAGCAAATATTTCCAGGTGGAAATAACAATAAAAATAAGTAAATACAATTAATGTTATCATTTAAAAATATTAAAACAAACACCTGGCTAACAGACAATTTCCAATAAATTTCCACCTGAAAATAAATAAAAATAAATCAAAAACATTTCCATAATTACGTAAATTAAAATTTTATTTTATTTTATTGCTCACTCTTTGACATTAACTTTTTAGATAATTGTAAATATTTTTTACGTTAATTTTTATTTTAGAATAATTAATTAAATAATTAATCTTTTAAATATAATATAATAATTTATGCTAAAATTGTTTTTATTATTTAAATTTTAAAAATAATTTTTTTATTATTTTAAATACATATATTCATTTTTATAAGCAATAAACATTTATTATTCATTACATAAATGTTTTTTATTTAATATTTAAATTAAAAATATTTATTTTTATATAAATTTTATATTTGTTAATTTTATATTTTATATTTGTTGGTCTTTAAAGCGATTTTAGTTTATTATTTACTTGTTTCCGTTATTTTTACTTTTTATCTAAATGCCGAAAGAATTTTTTAATTGTTAAAAATCAACTTGTTAGATATTTAATTATTTAATCTATTTTTGTTATTTTTATTTAAGCTTGAAGAATTAGGTATTTATCATTTAGAAAAAAGTCTTCAAACAAAAATCCTTTTTAGTAACTAAAAATCTTTAGTTTTTGGCTCAATAATCTACAATAATAATTTGCAATTTTAAGATAAATTAAATTAAAATAGCCCACACCTGTTTTTAAATTTTTTGCAAATTATTTTTAATTAAATTATTTATTTTTTTAAAGTTAAAAAAAGATTAACTTTTCTCTATTTGTAAAAAATAAATAAATAATTAAATTATTTTTACATATTTAGAAATTTAGTATAAACTAAAATATTTAAAAATTATTTTAAAAACACTTTCCGGTTCTTTAAATTAATAGGTGCGTTAAAAACGTTATTTTTAGTTAAATAAATAATATATAAAATTATTATAGAAAAAATTATTAATTTTATTTAAGTTAAAAATGATTTTACTCTGATATTAAATTAAATATAAATAGTATTTTTAATCAGGTATTGAATATTTTTGGTTTTTCTAAAATAATATATTTAGTTACTTAGATTATTAAGTGTTCGGCACGTGACAATACTCGAAATTATCAATATTAACCATTGCCGAAAATTACTTAAAATTCAAAATAAATATACCGTATTTCCTATATTAGTGCCCCACCCTCGATTAGTACCCCACCTTGGAGGATAGTTGAAAAATAGAGCCCACGGGGCTCTGGTATAGGAAATACGGTAAGTATATTTGAAATAAAAACATTTTAATTTCCAATTAAATATTTTTTAAAAATTTTTAATTTTTAACTTTTATTCTTTAACAAAATCGTGATTAAATTAAAATTTGGACTTGCGTGCATCTTAACATTTTTTAAAATAATATGTAAACATGAGTTAAGCGTGTAACTGACATTAAATAAATATTTATATTTAACGTTATTTCGTGCCATTATTATTTTTTGTATTATTAAACGTTACATTTAAAATACAAATTTAAATTATTTCCTTTTAATTCAGGGCTCTCATCGACAAAATGCCACTCAAAAGTATCAAAATCTTGATAAAAAAGTATATAGGGAGAAAATTTCCAAATTTAAAGTATACTCAAAATTAAATTGGAAAATATTTGTTCGTGCTCAAATCTTTTATATTTCTCTCTTAAATGAATCTTTTCTAATAATTTCTTGCTTCCATTGGGCATTTTGTGCATTTCAACGCATGACATGTCAAAATTCGCTGATACAAGAAATAAAGCCTTGACAGTCTTAACCTCAAGCTTTCGTCCATTTTCAGCGCCGCAGGCGAAAATTTTTTGAAATTTGGAGCCCAAGAAGTCAGATTTCTCCCATTTTCAGCGCCGCAGGCGAAAATTTTTTGAAATTTGGAGCCCAAGAAGCCAGATTTCTTTCTTTTTCAGCGCCGCAGGCGAAAATTTTGATAATTTCGAAGGCCCAAGGCTAAAAAAATTCACTTTTTTGCCCAATCCCTTCCCCATTTTCATTTTCAATCCAAAATGTTGATTTTAAAGTATATACTTTCAATAAAGTATAAATTCAATTTCTTAAGTATGGAGGTCGGTTTCAAAGTATAATACTTTCAAATAAAGCACGAATGAGAGCCCTGTTTTAATTTAAAGACATTTAAATATTTTCTTTAAACATAAATAATAACTTTTTTTAATTAATTTCATCAACCTTTTTCAAATAAATTTTAAAATCAAGTTTAGAATTCTAAAAAATGTCTGGACAATTTTTAACAATTTTTGAATTTCTTATTGCTTTTCTCCTTCATTCTGCGGCTCTTGTACGCATTGGACTTATTTTTAAACACAAAATTGATAAAAAGAAGGAAATGGCCCCTTTTCTTGTTTGTCTACTTATTAATTGGACTTTTGTATGTACCCTATTAATACCTTATGAAGGCTATGGAATTGCTGTATGGAGACCTGTTGAGGGTAATATAAATTATTAAATTATTAGATAGTCAGGTTACAAATTATCCGTGATTTATTTTCTAAAATTTCCTAGAGTGTTTTTAAATTTACAAAATTTTAATAAAAATAATTTAAATTAAATTTCAGAAATTTATCACAACAGTTTAACTCTCTTTCTGATTGCTTTACCTGCCCATATGGCGCTTGCTGCAATCCCAGTTTCTGTTTTCTATCTAACTCTTGATCGAATTCTCGTCATAACATATGGTTTTGCAGGTGGACAACGAACAAATAAATTGGTTATTTATTCGTATGTTTTGGTTATTCTTACTGGACTTGGAATTTGCGCGAATGGATTTTTATCTGCATTAAATAATATGCCTGAACAAACGAGTGAGATAGATTTTAAAATTAATTTTTAGCAACAAATTCTGTCTTAAACTTTGACATCCATTATATTAATTCGTTTAATTCGAATAGTTTAGCTGGGTTTTGATTAATATTCAGTGATGAAATGGCGATAGTGTCTGGGCTAAACTTATCATTGGGGTATAATGTAACAAATATGTAGGTCTCAATAAGTTTCAAATTTGGGGATAGGAATCGTATAGTATTTATTACATCATCATCATGGCTGCATAATTTAACAAACTTATTTTAAAAAACTATATGAAATTATTATAAGAATTAACTTATTAGAATGTGAAATATTTGGTTGCATACTTGGCCCAGCTGTAGAAGTATATCTTGGTTGGAGAGCAATATGTTCAGTATTTAATTTTAGCAGTGGAGTATTATTTTGTATTCTTCTCTACAAATCCAACAAAAAATTTATGTTGGGAGGTAATTTACAACAGCCATTTCCTGCTACAGCTTTAGGTAATTTAAATAATTTATTATTAATTCTCTATATTTTTTTTTAATTTTTAGTAATTAATGAACAACGTAAAAAGCAACAAACAAAAAATAATAAATTGACAATGCTTGCAATTGTTAATGAATTTTTTCTTGCATTTATTCCTCATTTTGGACCATTTTTGTGGGAAAAAGTAAATTTTCTAATATTTTTTTGTCAAAATTTATTTATAAAAATTTAGATATTCGGTCCTGGTTCTTCAATGGGCACTGGACCTCTTAGTGAATTTATGAGTGGATTAGAAGTTTTTATTTTTGCGTCAGTATTTTCTTCAGTTTTAAACTCGAATACTTCCAATATAAAATCAACAACACAAACATTACGTGAAGAAAAGACAAAACAAAATATTGGACAAATTAGACCTTCAGTATTTTCAATTCAAAGTGGCTGGACTGGGGGAGGACAAAATGGAGTAGTAAATAATATCAGAGGAAGTTTTAATAGAGTAAATAGTCCATTACCTCCAATTAATAATAATGAAAGGCAACAAATTAATAAATTAAGACCTATGCATCAAAGTTTATCAGCTGGAGTTATTATGACCTCATAAATAGTCAAAAATAAGATTAAATAATATTTAAAATTAAAAGATAATTTTTCTTACAAAATATTTAATACAACTGTCCTCATGAATTTTTGTATCGTCACATAATCTTACCTAATTTTCATAAAATTTTATGTATTTTTATTGTTCTTGTATTTTTAATTTTTTAAATCTCTAAATAAAAATAGAAAATTTTGTTTTCATTTTAAAATAACTTTAAAATATGACAAGATTGGAAGGACCGATAAATGAATAAAAAACCTAAATAAATTGTTATTTTAAAAATTATTTTATATTCTACTAATTTTTAAATATTAATAAAAAGTGTTGAAATTTTAAATGCATATTTATTTTCTATTTTATTGAAAAATATCTTTAATTTCTTTTTAAATTATTTGGATTTGGAATTTTATTGTGGACTGATAACTCAAATTATCTAGTCAAATTTGTTTTTAATTCAAAGTTAGTTTATATATTTTGTCAATTCTGAAGATCATTCATTATATTCTCAATTACTACATATTTTTGCTTGCTTGATTGTAATTTAATGGATATTTGTTACGCCACCAAATGTTGATACTTTGGTTTGGAATTTTTGGAATTTTTTCAGCAAAGACGGAGTTCTCGAAAATAGTAATTTTATCGTGTCTGATTGAACTGTTTTATTTAATGTTAAATAAATGACTGGTGGAAAACCTTTAAAATTTTAAATTTCTTATTAATAAATAAAATAAACTAGCCATGAACGTGTACCCTTAAATTAATTTTAATTAATTAATTAATCTAATTAAATTATTTACCAACAAAAATGTGCAACAAGTACAAGCACAAAACCACTGTCTGGATTTTTCAAATTATAGGCATAAATTATACCTGTTGAGGTATTAATCATTGAAACGATAAATACTTGAATAAAAACCTTAAAAATTAAAATATAAATTATTTTGATTATGTGGCTATTTAAATGTAAAGACCGAACCGAGACGAGATCTCGATCATAAATCTCGGTTATCGAGATTTTTTCGAAATCTAGATCTAGATTCTCGTAATGAGTCTCCAAATCCGATCTCTATTTAAATGTATATTTTTTGAGGGTACTCTGTACAGGAAAGGTCTACTAGAGTTGGAACCAATCAAACATCACAATCAACATTTTGCCCGTCAAAATACTAATCCAGTAACTCCCTTACTAACCATTTTTTCTTCTTTTGTAACTCTATCGGATACTTCACGAGTTTTGAAGAAAAAACAAATAATAAATATAACGTAGATAATAGGTGTTACAACAGCCAATAATGCATTATTTAGAGAATTTTCAAATAAATCCCGTTTAAACTATAAATTTAAAAATTATTTAAAAACAATAATTTTAAAAACAATTTCTGCTCTAAAAGGTATATATCCAATTAACGGCTCAAATAAAACAGCAAAAGCTATTCCATTAAATATATATGGATGTCGAAAATACAACCAATAAAATCCATATAAATTACAAATAAATATCCAAATATAGATTCTTTTGCCATAAAAAAGGATTTCTGCAATATTTGGAAATGCCATTTCAATACAGCGATTTATTCCCAAAACCTTAAAATATATTTAATTAATTTGGCATTTTTGAAAGATGCACCAAATCAGCAGCACATTCAGCAGCCCATAAAACTTTAAAATTAATTATTTAGAATAATTTTAATAGAATTAATGAAGCAATACAAAAATTTACTAAATAAAGGGATCCGATAGGAAAAATGTTGTTTAACTAAAAAAGCTTAATTTACAAGTGTATAGTGAGAATACTTTTTGAAATATATGTAGTTACGCTATAAGAATATAATTTCAAAAATTTATTTTAGTTCAAATCTCTTATAATATTTCCCACCCAAATGTGTTTCCAAATACCCCTAAAATAAGTATAACAGAACAAGCTTTAAATAAAACATAAAATTATAACTTCAGAATGTTCACCTCAATTATTTTAAAAATTTAATACCTACATAAATATAAACACCCAACAAAATAGGTCAAAATAGGCGAAGAGCAGTAGACAATGCCATTTAAACTAAAAATTCCTTGTGCAAAAGTTGGACCCCAAAGTGTAAAAATATTAATTAAAGAAAGGTAAATTAAAAGTATATAACAAGGATTTTTGCTTCGGTTTTTCCAAAATGAGTAAAGACAAGGAAAATATAAAGTCTAAATTTAAAAAAAAATTCTAAAAAATATAGGTATATTAAAATACATAATATATAAATCCAAGTAATATACAAACAATTGCAGCTATTGGATATCTTCTTTTTTCAATTGGAACATCATCAACATTTATCCCAGTACAATTATAAATTTTATTAAATTCCTCATGTTTGAATAATAAAAGTTCCATTTGAGTGAAAATTTAATTGAATATTTTAAAAATAATTTTTAAAATTTATTTTAAATTTTGACGTTTATATCTTTTAAAGCTTTATCAAAAATTATGTCCTGGTTTTTACAATATTAATTATTTATATGCTATATTAAAATAATTCATTTTGTCAGGAATGATTATATTTAATATTAATATGTATTTTATTGTGTCTACAAAAAGCTCTTTATTCTATTATTAAAAGTTATTTTTAATTAGTTTTTTATTTTAATATTTCAGTATCCGGTTTATTATTAATATTAATAAATCCAAGTATTTATGACATTAATGAGACAATAAAAAATAAGTATTTAATATGTACCTAATTTGTTTTAAATAATTTTTGTGTTAACTTTTTATATAAAAATGTAATATTTCTGGTGTCAAATATAAACTTGCCATTGAATCCCGGGGTTTTGAATAATAGAAATAATTGGGAAAATTTAAAAAAGAATATTACATAAATTGGATTAATTCTAAAATATAGTAAAGCGGTTGGTCCCGTTCCCCAGTGCCTCGTTGTTTAGTTGTTGCTATAGGCAGAGTCGCGCATGCTTGCAATCATGTGTGAACTCCGCAGAGTATAGAAATAGGTGAATCGCACGCAGTGGGGGAATGTAGGGAGAGCTCTTCCCTACAAGGATGGATTGGCCGGCCGGCAACTCTGTTGAATGAATGAAGAAGTGATCTGCCTTTGCCTATTCCATTAAAGCTTATAAGCACCAGCTTACTTCCTTATTGCTTTCCCAAGGATAAGTTTGTGGCGATGTTAAGCTTAGATAATAGGCGGCTAATAATTCTCTGGGAATGGACGTTTGTTCGTTCTTTGCCTTTTCTCTGGGAACTTCCGTTACTTAACGCAAAGTTTATAGCGACATTATAGTTCACGTGATTCCAGGATGATATCCGCCTTACACCTCTAACCTTCCAATAGACCGTCCCTGGTCGTTAAGATTTGACCATCCTCTACACCTCTAACCTTCCAATGGACCGTCCCTGGTCCACTTCTTATGTTTTATATTACATGAATGAATCCCTCAGGATTTAATAATTTTTTATATAAAACACTCATTCGTTTTTTTTGTTACATTTGAGAGTCCCGCAGGGCTTATATTTTGAAACATATTAATATTTGCTTAACATTGAGAGAAAAAAATTTAAAGAACTAGTAAGGAAAAATAGTGATATTCGGAGATTATTAGATGGATTTAAGTTTAAGCTGCCTGGTCAGAAATGTATTCAGGATTTTTTTATGGACATGTATCGTTAGACTAGTTAGTTTCTTTTTCCGCAAAGATTTTTCTCCTAATACTGAAGATTTGTCAAAGTTAATTTTAAATATTGGGTCTACTCACCTCTGAATTAATTATTGAGACCTCCAGGACATTAATAAATAATAATTAATAAGTTCTGTAGTACATTAGTGTTCTGTTAGCATTATTGGAAGATTTGTGGAGTTACAAATTATAAGATCTATTCATTATTGATGGTTTTCGATACTTTAGGAATGGTGGAGGTTCTGATCCTCAGGAGTCAAGATTCTCTATTATTCTTTCTTTGAATTTTGAGCATATCGAGTTTTGCTTATTTGTTTCCATGGGATTAGGTTTCCGATCTCAAGTATCTAATTGTGAAAAGCAAGAGTTGTAGGTGGGCTTATAGCAGAAAGATCGCTCACCAAAATTACTTGGTACCGACAGAGAGTTTATTTATCTTTATTGAACCCCTCAGGGTTTATATTAAGGAATCCTGCCGCAAGCTGAAATTTTAAAGCGCTAGGCACAGCGCAGATTAGAAGATTTAAGACGATAATTTTTAGTGGAAACCGAAACAGAAGGCTTATATTGTTTTTTGTTAAGATCAATTTTTGTTAGAAGCGCTAGGCGTAGTGCAGCATTTGAATAATAAAAAGGACTTTATTTTGTGAAATGAGCTGTATTTTTTTTGGATTTTATTTTTTGAGTTGCTGAGAGAACTTAAGATATTAGACACATGCATCACTTGCGTTCATTTAATTTTAATTATTATTCAATTGAACCCCACGGGGTTTAGGCTTTGCTTTTTTTAGAGATTCTTTTTGTCTGTTGAAGGAAACTAAAAATTCTTTGAAACAAAATAAAACCATTATCCTTTGTAATAAAGTGTTTAATAAAGCGATATTTTCTTTTTGGACTTTGGCTAGAAATAATATTTGTGAAAATTATTTTGTAAATTTTTGATTGAGTGAGAAGATAAAAAAGTATGGTTAAGTATAAAATTTTATTTTATGAAAATTGCATACAAGTGAGTACTTTGAGACGGAAAAATAACAAAAATATCGTCCTGAAAAATAAAATTTAAATGAGAGAGAAAATAAAAGATTTTAATTGTGATCAAATTTTAAAATTAAAATGAAACCCGCAGGTTATAAGCTATTCATTTTTTTGTCTAAGAATTGCCTTTTTGTATGTTTTGTATTTTTTTATGTGGTTTAACTAACAGGATTTTACTCGTTCCATTTACTTTTCTTAAGTATTATTGTTGAATCGAACTATTGTTGGACTTCCGAGTTCCCTTTTCAAAAAAAAATTTGTGACAGAAGTCTAATATTAAAACTCAAATCAAACAATAAATTTTAAACTTTAAACTAAGTTTATTTTCAGAAAAAAAAATTGTTTTTATTTATGGAGCCTAATACATGTTCTGAAAAACTGTTTCTTTCCTTATTATTTCGATGTTTTATAAGTAAACGAAATATCGATTTCGATTCTAAAAAATTTTTTTGATTGCAATGGGTTTATTTGATCAGTTTACTATTATTTTTGAGGCCTTAGCTTTTTTAATAACTTTTATATTTCAAATCATTTTAAGAGAATTTTCCGCGAAACTGAATAATGTGAACTGACCCCGGAAAGAAATTTATAAGAGTTTGATTTATAAACGAAGAAAAAAGAAACATGAGATTGTATTATCTAAAAATTTTAAACAATATAAATGAGCCAGAAGGCTGTTTCCTAGTATCTCCATGTTTTAGAAGGCTCCAGGTTTTAGAAGAATTCTAAGTTAAACCCGCAACTTATAATGTGTTATGTTTTTTGATAATCAAAAGTGGGCTTTTTAATTTTTCTGGAAGATTTTTCCGCTTTTTATGGTCCTACTTTTGTTTAAGACGCTTTGGATTATTTTATTTTTATTTTCTTTCATTTTGAGTGGTCTCCGCATAGGTTGAATTATATGATTTTACTTATAGTAAGTACATATAGATTGTCCTTTTCTTGGACTTTTGTTCTTTCTTTTTCTAATATTTTGCATGGCCCCCGCAGAGGTTATAAAATAGAAAGATCAATGGAAGAATACATATATATCGGATGAGATTATCTTTAGAAATATTAAATTAAAGAATAATTTTTTATAAATTTCGACTTGAATTCTAAAAACATCGCAGGTTAGAAAAAGAAAAAGGGGCCGAGAAGTTATTAGACAGAATCCTTTTTGTTCATTTTTAACTATTACGCTTAACTATTAAGCTATTTAACTATAACTATTAAATTTTTGGAACATGACTAATTAAATTAATATCTTGTAGTTTTTGTGATACATACATAAAAATTGATTCTCCATCAAAAATAATATCTAGCATTAAAAAAATTCTTTTACATATCATTAACAAAAATTAAGACACCCGAGAAAAATTATTAAAATACATTTAAAAAATTTTATTGTAGAATTTTATACACTCTTGACAGAATATGTAGATGTTTTTTAAATAAATTAACTGCTGATAATAATTCAGAATAAAAAAAATTTTTAACATAATTGTACCCCTCAGGGTTTAATAAATGATAAGAAATAATAGTCACTTCTAAAAAATTTCCATATTACTCAAAATCAAGCAAATTTGAAGAAAAGGAAAAGGACTTATGATTATGATTTAATGATGAATTATATAATTATATGATTGTAATTGTCTTGGTAGTAAAAGATTAGAATCAATCTACTAAGGAAAAATGAGAAAAAAATACTTTAATTTTTCACGCGAAAAAGATAGGAAAAAAATTTTTTTAGAAATTACTTAATTTTACCTCTATGTATATTTAGGCATAAGAACGAAAATTTTCCAGAAATTAGTTTGAAATTAAAAAACAAATTCCATATTCAAAATAAAGGAAAACATAGAAAGTTTTCCCATAGTGTGTCGTGAAACATCGTTCATATTTTTTGTACCCCGCGGGGATAAAAATAAAATCAGTCAAGAATAAGGAGAGTGTAGTAAATGAGAGAATTAAATTGTAATGTGAATATAGATAGAAAGATTACACTAAAAACACTTGTATAAAGCAATTTGTGCTTGTGAAAATAAAATTTAAAAAAATATTTAAAGATGGATAACAAAATGCGTGAGAAATAAATAAAAATTGTTTTGATAAGTTTTTAGAGATATCCCTAGACCTTCTCACGGATACAATTTCTAGATTGGAGTTTTCAGACCCTAGAGAATGTTTCAAGTAATTGATGATAGTTGTTTTTGTTGATTATTTTCGATAATTTTATATATATTTACCCCGCGGGGTTTTGACGAAGTAAAAAATTAATATAAAGATTTTTGTTGAAAAGAATGATTTATTAAAGAAAAATTTTTCATTCAATTTTTTTTAGAGCAAAATTACTAAACTATTATAGTTTCTTTGGAAAAATTTTTTTCATTTTCGAAACCTAGATTTTTGATTACGTGCTAATGGAGGTTAAAAAAAATTTATTATGTTTAAAATACCTAAAAATTTACTAATAACCATTATTTCTTTGTTCTTTAATTTAGTAATTAGTTATCGTAGATGAACCCCTCAGGGTTTATATATTTTTAAAGAAGTAACTTAAAAATGCAGAATAAAAATCAATTTAAAAAGAAGTGAGTTTTACTGAGAAACGTTGTAAAAACAATCATTTTCAATTAGATAAAATTTCCTAGCAATATTTCACTTTACTTTACTGTGAATCAGAAA